TATCGCCAAGCAAAGTGTGATTTTTTTTTATCAATAACTCCACTGTCACATATGACATGCCTGCAAACTTTAGCGCCGCCTCCATCATGGCAATGCGGTTCTGTCATGCCGACACGGCGACAGCGGGCGTTGCAACAGACGCCAGTGCAGAGATTATGCGGACACAATCAGCGCTCTTAATAGCGCACCGTTCAAAGCGCAGAAGTCAAAATAAAAGCGTAAAGGGAAACTATGTGGATGGGATGCTAGGCTGCTCGTTGTTGTGTCTGTTGCAACTTCGATGGCTGACTGCTGCCTGACATTGCGTCTGCAATGCAACGTTGTATTTATTGTTTGATTTTATTTTTTTCCTTCGTATCAACTTTATTTAATATTTGTTTTTTTTTTTTTTCCATACTTGGTTGCCTGATGCGGCCGGTGGTGGCTGCTGCTGGTGCGCTTTAAGTGATAAAGAGTGTGCCAGGCTGTAAAATAAAATATCATTAATAATGTACTAACATAAAAATTCTTACAGTAGCAGCTATTGAGTTCGAAGTACTCTTAGCTGATAATTCGTTTGGGTGTGTGTTTGTGTAGCAACTGAAATATATCTACATGTGTATATATGTACAATATTAATCCCACTGAGCAAAATTCTTTTGGAAAGCTTTGAATTGTTTGAACATACAATATGTGAAAATATTAAAATTAAAATTTGTTGCAGTGGTTAAGTATACTTAGTCTTCTCTAAAATCAAAATTAATTCTAATTTTGATATTTTAAGCTTCCCGTTAAGTACAACAACTTAAATGAATAGACCTTCAATTCCTAATTACACCATACTTTTGGAAGCTGATAAAATCAAATAAAACAACATACGATGGCTCATACAAGTGACCACGTGTTGATTTGTTTTAAAGATTCACAATGTTTTTCAAGCCGATTTTTTTTTTGTTATTTTTCTATAAATAACCAAAAATTTTCATAAAAATTTCATTAACTATAGCATAAAAGTAAAATTTGATAAGCGTTCAAAATGATATAAAATTATCCGTAGTTAATGGTCAAAGGAGCTTTTAATACTGGGTTGTCGCTTTCACAACTGTGGGTTAGGTTAATGAGTAATAGCAGTCAATATTCAATGAACCCCTTCCGTAGTCTTAATGTTTTACACATAACTATACATTCGCTTGTATTTTCACCACCAGCGAACTTTGCGTTTTTTTTTTTATATTTTTTTTTTTTTATCTACAATATGAACGCTATAAACATTCAGACTTATTTTAGAGCCAGAAAAGTCTCAGAATTCTGAGTTGTAACCCTCATTATGAGCTCAAAAAAGAGTCGTAAAATATATAAATATATATATATATATATATAAAGCATATTTCCCTTCTTATGGTACGTTCACACATAAAGCGGAGCCGAGCCAAGCGAAGCCGTTCCGAGCTGAGTGAAGTTTTCAAATTGCTATAGCTATATGAAAGTGTTTATACAGCAAGCTTTTTCGGAAGCGTTTTGGAGCTGAAAGCAATACAGTTTTTGATTTTGAATTTTCTATTTAATTTTTCAGCTTCATGACGGTTCTGCAAACAAGATATCGAAATATTCAAATAAAAACGAATTCTACAACTAATCTTTTGAATAAAATTGAGCAAATATTTTTGCCGCTTTTCATTGACGGGAAATTTTGTGGTATCTTTGCAGTCGAGTCCATGAGAAAAGCTGCGCATCGTTTCGTTCAGTGTGAATACCAACAGCTTCGCTTTGTTCCGTCTTGCTTCGCTCGGCGCCGCTCGGCTTTCTGTGTGAACACACCCTTAGAAGGGTAAATATCAGTTCAATTTAGGAGTGTGAAATATGACGCCTTCTAAGTATTAAAAATAAATATTCTTTATAATTATGATTATTAGTAAACTTTTATTTCTACGTGAACTTTGACACTTTCGTTCAACTCAGAATTTAGGACGAAATGAGTCAGTCTAGTTTTCCTTACGAAAAAATGCTTGCTTAAATTTAAGAAGAATAAGTTTCGAAATTAATTACTTTTTACTAAGCGGTGGCGAGATGCGCGCGAGTTGTTGTATTTTACTGACAAAATATCGTTTATAAGGATTGTTATTGGTTCTCTTTTATTTTTTTTTGTGTGCTTGGTAAGTCCAATATTTTATTCCTCCTGCTAGTTACCCATCCCTGTAATCGGCTATAATTACTTATTTCTATTGTTTTCTTGAGTTTTCTTTGGCCCGTCGCCAATTCTAAGTCACTTGATTGCCTTCGCGGGGGTACTGTTTTTCTTTTTTTAATATTTATTTAATTTATTTTTTTTTTCTTGGTTTTCTTGACTGCGGCATCGCCAAAGCGAATTGGCTTTCGACTGTTGGTTGTCTGCTGTCTGTATTAGTTTTGCTGCTGACCCTGTCTATTTGACCGCTTTTGTATGTCTGCCGTACTGTCTGATAGAAAAATTGTATGAAGAGTATGTACGTTTTCTCTTTTTGTATCCTTGAATTCAATTTAGAAATTATAAATGCTTACTTTCGCAATATTTATTTTTATTTTTTTTTTGTATCTTGATACTGGCAAAGAAAGAAATTCAATTGATTTTTCTTCAGTTAAATTCAGGCACCGAAAATAACCGTACTTATTCCAAGATTTTTTTTTTAATCATTGGAAAATCGTTTAATTTTGATTTTTATATTTTCGATTATGAACAATTTTTAACAAGTTCGAGGCCCTGCAATTAAATAAAACGCAAATCTCCTTAAAATATCAATATAACGAAGATTTGCGTTGTATTTAATTGCTGGGTCTCGAGCTTGTTAAAAATGGTTCATAATTTAAAATTCAAAGGCCAAAAACTAAAACAAAATATTTATATATTCGGTCAAATTTAGTCGCTATTTTTTGATTTTTATTATATTTTTCGATCAAAAGTAATTTTGGTTTTTTTTTCGATCATGTTTAACAGTTATGGCGGAGACTGAGTTTTTTATGATTTAAAAAATTAAATCTGAAAATAACAGTTCTAATATTATTAAAAAAATAAAACCAATTTTAACGGTTTAATTATGATTTTTATTATAAAAATCATAACAGTTTCGGTTCCTGATTATATTCGCTTCTGATGCAAATATTTACCTACTTTTATTTTTTTTTCAACGAACTTCATACCTTACAGAGAAAGAATTCGTATCAGGTAATGCAGGAACAACATCGTCGGTTCAATGGCTACTATAGAACCTCGCCGAAGAGTAAAACTTGCCAGTGAAGGTTTCTGCGTGGACACCTAATAGGCCACTCATTCAAAGTTGTAGCGCTAAGAATCTCGTAACCGTAAGTTGCGAGAAACTCGTTAGCTTTTAGGGAAGGTTTACAATGTCAGGTTGAAGTTGTGAGTGTTGTTTTTTTTCGGGTTAATTTTCTTCTGTTAACAATATCAGCTTTGAGTGAAGTTTGGAGCTCTTAATGACGTAAATAAAACCTTTACCAATTTCGAATGCAATGTAAAGTCTCCTTGAAGCAACTGACCCAGCTAACAACACCCCTCTTATTTCACTTGTACTTGTTCAAGCCAATTGTGTATTTCGAATTCGCAATTCACAATTCCACTTCATCATCACAAACATCATAATTATCATTGCAGCTGAATGCGCCTCTTCGCTTAATGCTTTCATCAACATTTCCAGCTCTCAATTGGGTTGATGACAGTTTGCATATTTCATGAAAAATTTTGTATCACCGTAATTACACAGCCAAACTAAAGTTTGTATGTGGATGCATTTGCTTTTGCAACAAAAATTAAAAAAAAAACAAACCGGCAGTGTGTAGTTTTAATTCGGAACCAGCGGCGCATATATCGCACAAACGCATGTGGATGTCTATGTCAATAGGCCTTTTTTGTGCTCTACAATTTTTCATCTTTTCCGCTTTCCGTATTTCGACTACCTGCCATTGATGTTGTGCAAACAAAGACAACGACAAAAAGAAAAGAAAACAAAAGCAAAAACATAAGTAAAATAAACGTAAATGACGCCACATGAAATGCACCTTTTGCATCGTACAAAAAGCGAAACGAACGTATGCGAATGTGAACGCACATGTGAAAGCCCAAACACGACATTTGTGTGCTAAAAAAAAAGAAACTGCGGAAAAAATAAAAGTGAAAAACGCTAAGAACGAGTCGTGAAAAACTCAGTGGAGATGACTGCGCGTACACTGAGAAAATTGGTAGCTGCAACCTGACCCAGTTTGAAAATCAAAGCTGCTGCAGCAAGCGCACGCTTCAGACTCACTGCCATCGCGGTCCGCACGGTTTTTGGGTATGGGGCAGCAGTTTGTGCAGCCTGACTGCGCCATATCCTTGAGCTGCTTGCCATTGCATACTTGCCGTGACTGCAGAGGCAAAGGAAGCGGCGTTGCAAGCAGTGGCAGAAGTTTTACTTTCGTTCGTCGCGCGATTTGTAAATTGTCGCCGCTGTGTCCCTCCGCCTGGCTGCTGCACCGTCTGCAGTTACTAAGCAATTTTTTTTTTATTTATTTGCTACTGTCTACTTTGCTGTCGGCTGTTTACTTTTGTGGAAATGCAAATTGCTACTTCTCCTGTCCCCTCTGCACTGGGCCGCTGTGCTTTGCTGGTTTGGGCGCATCCACTTTCGAAAATGCGTGCGCCACTAGCAAATTGCAAACAAACCTGTATATCTAATATTTTGTATGTAGGTGTGCGTATGTCAACAAAAATATATATTTACTCTACTAATGAGTTGCTAGCAGCTGACAAATTGAAATTTGCCAAAGCGAGTTGAATATTCGTGCTAGACTCTTGGAATTTTAAAGAAACTTTTTCAAGTAGTAATTCTTTAGGGGAAAACAAAATTTTGACTACAGATATGAATTATGTATATTACCTGTGTTTGTACTAATATATGTATGTATATTGCAAATACATTTTTTCGATTGACTTAAATTTTTCTATACATAATTTTACTTTATTAAAAATATTCTTTGTTCTCTATTTGCAGGCGCCCTTCAAATCTTTCCGTGGTTTGGACGCGTCGCTCACGCCGTGTTATTTCGGCGCCACTGGCCTGGGAGCCAGATATGGTGAATCCGCTGGTCGGTCACATAGCTTGGCCGGTGCCAGATAATCACTCGATTTCGGTGACATTATTCAAAGATCCGCGCACCCACGAACTAGAAGATAAGGACTGGACGTTTGTCATAGAAGATGTGAGTATTAATGCATGATGACCTGTGTTATTAATATTTGTTATATTTTTATTGGAATAGATTTGACTACAAATATATTTATTGATATATTTCACGAAATGTAGTATTGATGTATTTAAAATATCGTTACTGATGTACATACATACTACGTATTTATCGAGATAATAGTTATTTTTATCGATTTTTTAACAAAATATTTATCGATTTATTGAATATCATTATTATTATGAATATGTAAATCGAATGTATTTATGTATGAAAACCTCATACATTGCACGTTTTTCGTTTTTTTTTATTTAATGTTGGAAAACAAATTATTTGAATGATCATAAAGATTACTTTTGTCTTCTCTTTTTGTTAATATGTATATAGTATCCGTTTAAAACATATACATACAAACATGTATGTATGTATGGAAGAGTTCATATTTGCTTTGCATTTCCGTTCGAAGCCAGCCAATTGAAATCAATTAAGTGCTGAGTAAATATATTTTACCCATTTCTGTGCATCGGCCGGCATCAATAAACGTAAATAAGTATTTTGCGTATATACAAAAAGGTTAAACAATTGCCAATGATCGCTATATTCCACCTCTATTCTCAACCATTCATTCTGTGGCCATATTGCGTGAACTTTGGATATATTTAGTGGCTCGAAAAGCAACGAAAATGCTCAGCCAGCCATATGCCTTCAGGCTGGCTGAGTTGTATTTGATTGACTTAAAATGTTTTGTGCAATGAAAACGTGAAGTTTAAACGTATAAACTCTTTAGTGATATATGTACGTATTTATACCTTTTATCAAGTCTAAAAAATTCCGTTGATTTTTTTGAATTTTTTGCGCTGAGTGTTGCGTACCTTCTTTCATATAAAAAAGATTGCTTTTCATGCAATTCTCTAAAATCAAAGGTTTAACTCAATGGGCTACAAAACTGCATACTCAAAATTTTTTTTTTAAGAAAACGATTTGAAAATTGAAAATTTCGATGAAAATGCATTGCATTTTCCCGTGTTCTTTATGGAATTAAAAAAAATATCTTGGCATTTTTGCTGATGAATTAATTATATTTTTATAAGAAAACAAGAAAAAGTTGGTAAGTATGGAAAATATAAACAAATAAAATCGTCAAAACGTCGGCGGACTTATTTTGATGCTCACTGTAGATACTTCGCCGGCAAAAGGTATTGACATAATTGGCGAATTTTTTACAATGTATGCAACAATTTTTATTTAAAATTTTCCCCCAAACTAAATGTGGTTGACAATACAACAAAAAACATAAAAATATATTTTCTAAATTTTCAGGCAAATTTTCAACTTTTTAACCCATTAAATTGTCGCGTTGATTTTTCAGACTTTTTTTTATTTTTGTTGAAGGTGATTCGCATTTGTTCCATACAAAGTATTTTCGAAATTTTTTGAAAAAAATTGCCAAAAATCAACGGTAAGTCCTTGCTACTTCAAACTTGCACTTCATTATAATAAAATTTATTGGGCTCAAAAAAATTAAAAAAATCTGATTAAAAAGTTGAAAACGTGATTGAAAATTTATTGAGTTTTCCCGAGTTTGGCACAAAGTTTAGAAATTATATTGTTTTTTTTTTGTATTATGAACCATATTTTTATAAAAAATTTGCGAAAAAAAATAAAAATTTTTACATACATATGCACATATATATATATATTTTTTTTTAAATCGATTTATATTCAACCTATCCGCCGGAGCCTTGAAGTTTTCCATGCATACATATCTATAAGTACATGTTTTACATGGGGAAATACATATATATTTTTTCGCCAATATAAATTCGTTAAAAACACATATTTTTTTGGTCGAAAAAGATTATTTCGTATGTACATAATTCAATAGCGTGAAAATATTAACTACATTTGTATGTATGTATGTTGACGGCACCTTAAAAAAAATTTAATTACTATTGTAATGAATTTTACAGTCCAATTTAGTTCAATTAAATTTCGCAGAATATTGTCGTCTGCTTTTGCTTATTAAGTATTTGAAGTAATTCTGCGTAATGTTCAGAGGTGCAGTCTGACTCACTTTCCGCTGATCTCGCGGCTCGAAGGCTGAAATTTCAATTTTCTTTAACACGTTTGTGTCTGCACATTTTTTGCTTACAAAACGCTCCGCATTTTACTTAATAATATGTGTCAAGGAAACTTGTCCCATTCGCTAAGTATGTATGTATATGTATTTTGACCACCACCCACACAGGCCATCCATGCGCTGATGCTTCTTTGTTGCCTGCACTCAATTTAATAAAAGCTTCCAGTCTTGAAGGCGTAATTTATGGCGCAGCACTCCTTGTTGGCCATAAGATTTGGGTATATGTGTGTGTGTAGTGTATGTATGGGTATGCGTGCCATTTAAATGACTGAAGAATGACCAAAGCCCTTAGGAATTGAACTCTTTATGAAGATAATGTTTACTATTTTTTTATGAAAATAGATGCAGTATAAAGAACAGCATTTCATTTGCAAATTTTTATTAGTAGAAGTTCCGTTTATTTTTAGTAGAAAAATTCTAAATTTTATTTTTAATAAGCGTGCGCTTTCTTGTGTAGCTGTTAACACTAATCTGGCTCTCTAAGTTAAGCTCGGTTTTATTTGGCTATCAATTAATCATTTTTATTAGTCACGAAAAACAATGCCTGAACACATATTTACATACAATCATTTCTGTTTAAAACTTTAATCTCTCATTTTCATTTGCGTTTTAAATCAAAAGGAATGCTAAAATTTTTGATACACTTGACTTGCGCTCGGAAACAGTAAACAATGAAAGCAAATAAAAGTGAATGGATTTAATGAGTTCTAAATTATTTATGCAGAGTAAAAATCAGATTTCTTAAAGGCCTCATCTCACTTTCTATTCCATACTTGTTGACGACGGCCTCCAATGCCTTCATTTGAGTAATCGCTATGTACATCCATATGTACATATGTAACACTTAACACTGACTCAATTGCGCTTTTCATCGTGAACTCACGTCAAGGACATTTCGATTGCATGTCGGGCCTAGTCCGTGCCTACATCAACGTTATTACCAAATGCCACCTATAATTGAAATAGATGTTTCGTTAGCGTAGTACATTCATATACATATGTATATGTACATATGTATGTACAAGACAAAGGCGTCACCCAGTTGGTTTGGTCTCTGCTGTATTATTAGCAGGGCTGGCAAAAATATGCACATCAAAACTAAATAATCGCTGAATAAAGAAAAAATTCTCTGAAATAAGCTCAATCAATAAAGTTTAATTTCAATTTTTCAATATTTCTGTTAAATAATATCGGAGTTAAAGTATACAAGTTTCTTAGTAATAGCGGTCGCCCCTCGGCAGGCAATGGCCAACCTCCGAGTGTATTTCTGCCATGAAAAAACAGCTTGTCGTAAAAATACAATCGCCGTTCGGAGTCGGCGTAAAACTGCAGGTCTCTTCTCCCCTTTGTGTGACAACATCAAAACGCATGCCACGAATCGGAGGAGAAGCTCGGCCAAAAACTAACGCGCCAATCTATTATTATGTCAAATATAGTATGTATATGCTAAATAAGCGTTCTCAAGCTTTTGCTTAGAATTGCCAGCCCTGTTTATTAGATATTTCGTGTTTATTTGTGTCCTTCTGTGTATGCATTGAATGTCTCGGAGAGTCGCTTGGTTGTTCTTTTCCAAATACATATGTACGAATGCCACTCATAAGTGCCACTTTTGTTCTTTTTCGTGTGTTTTCTACATTTTTTATTGTTGTAAAGGATATCAACACGTCGGTAGAGACTTTCAACGCTATGCATAATTGCGCTTATGTGGTATTTCTAATATTTCAAGGTTGATTTTCATTGACTGTTACATAAATACTAAAACTCTCTCAATGTACATAGTATTTGTATACATACATTTGTATTCTATATACATACGTACATTACTATTTAAATGTACATCCCTGCACGCATGCAAAGAGTACTCCCTAAGGGTCAATGAGTACTCCAAAACTAGCCGAAATGTATATAATAAATGTGATCCAATTAATATTGCGATGTCCTAGGGCAGGACTATATACTATAGCTCTGCATTATATCAGAGTCGCACAAAACTACTCCAAGGGATTACTCCATGGAGTACCTACGGCTTGGTAAAACACCCCTTATACACATCTCGTAGTCATTACAATGGCTAAAACACGAGCAATTATCGGGTAACAATAAGCTGGTGTAGAGACAAGAGGTGGTCCGTCCGCTACTGCATTACGAAGAAGCATGTTGTAAGTACTCCAATATGGCACAAATGGACGACATACTTAGTCCAACGATTTTCGCAGGTATGTAAGATGTGTGTATCCATACGCGTACATATGTATGTATTTTCACTTCTAAGCGTTTGCTGTTTACTGAATCTATGTGTATGTATGTTTATGTACATAGTAGAAAAGTTCATACATTTGTCTGGTTGGACTAGTGCACACACAGTGTTGCCAGGTCACTGAAGTGAGAAATCGTCAGTTTGGTTCTCAAAAATCATCATTTGCAGGAAGCTCTTTTGGTTTCTTCTGATTGATATATTTACGTAAAAAAAATAAAATAATAAATGTTTTTACGAATTTTTAAAATCCACATTACTTTTAACACAAATATTTTTAATTGCAATAAAATCGCATTTTCTTCTTCATTTTTAGATCATTAATTCAGCCTGTTAAAATTTAATATGACACATTTTTGTTCGGAAAATTTAACATTTTAAATTTTAACAGTCTGATAAATTTAAAATTGATTAGTGAAACTTTGGATAAGTCGTATTACATTTGTTTTTGTCACAAAGTTTTTCTCTAGTACATATTATGTTTTACAGCTTTCTAGAAAAATCACCAAAAATTGTTTCATTATTTTTGTTGCTTGAAATAGAACTTTACCTTTGGTATAAATTTTCTTGAAGAACTAAATATACGAGCGTTTTTTTTCTTGAGATGTTCAGACTGATTTGAGAAATTTTTATAGAAGAAAATTTCTTTCTCATTTCTTGAGTATGATTTTATTTGAATTTTTCGATTTTCTTTACCAACTAAGCTTTAATCAGGTACAATTTTTAATGCTTTATTTCATTTTTATCGGTGTTTGGATAAAACTCAAAACAAGAACAACCATTTCCTTGTAATAAGTCTCGTGTGAACAAAATTCCCTCAAGAGTGGAGTTTTCTTGCAAAGCATCATCTTCTGGCTCCACAGCTAAGGTAAAGAGAACATCAAATATTTGCAAACTGCAACTTTACCATGTTCATTAAAAACTGTTTATACTTACAAGTTTTGCTAAATTACTTATTCATAATTTCCTTTGCTCAATAAAATATGAATATAGTGATGAAACAAAGAAGAATATTGCTTATCGACAACTACTTTTAGTACTGTCACATGATATAATTTGGATACGACAATTATGTATTAGCAGAAATGGTAAATAAGTGTTTTCACTGCAATTAAAGTTGAGAACCAATCAAATTTGCACATAAAGAAAAATCGTCATTGCGGCAAAAAATCGTCAAATCGTCATGGCCGTAAAAAATCTTCAAAATGACGACCAAATCGTCAACCTGGCAACACTGCTAGGACATGCGATCGATAGTTGACGATAGCCTTGTTGAAATATGATTTCAAATGTGGTGAGCTGTCATTTAATACTTGCTTTTGCTGCCATGAGCGCGTTTTATATGTACTACTGGAGTTAGACGTTAGGCCTAAATCATTAAATCATATTTTAGGTACTTCAGTTCACGAATTTCTTCAATTCAAAAACTTACTTTCCATTTGCAGGTATACAAATTAAATATTTGATATAAGTTCCAGAACTGTTACGCTTTTCTCTGAATCCTAAACCAAATGAAATGTGTATGAATTTCAAATATTCCATATTCTTATTACAATAACGTCAAAAAATTCTTGGCCAAATTTTTATTTGCCGCATTTCAGAGTCACGTACAGATTCATGTTTACATTTTAATAGCGTTAATTCGAAAAAATAGCAAAAAAATTTATTACGCTGCCGAAATACTTGGGTGTAATGTGGCGAGGGTGATGGTCGGCGGCGCCACTGTAGCATTCATTGGCGTCTTAACTGGCGTCACATTGTGGCTTAACAGTAAACAAAAATTAATGAAAAGAAAGTGCATAAAAGTATAATTTTTTGCATTTTTGCAATTTATCGGCCATGATTTTGTTTTGAAGTTTGCCAGCATTGTAAAATCATATAAAAGTGAAAATAAAATATTGGAATTGTTCGAAATTGTTGTTGCTTGAGATTGAAAATGAAAATGTGTGTGTGTGAGTTTGTGAGTAAATTTAAAAATTAAATTGCTTGGAAACGTCAAGAATTTAAAAAGTGCCTCTCAGCGGTTCTACCTTACTATGATTTTAGTATAATTTTTTGTACATACAGTCAGTCAATAAAGTTCAGGTACAGCGAATTTTTTACATACGGGTATTTTTTTTTTTAATTTTAATTTTTGCTAATTTGTTATAAAAATATCGTTAATTCTACAACAAAAAACCCCAAAAATCGAAGTTCCAAACCTTGTGCAAAATTAAAGAAAATTCTGCAAAATTCCGCTCAAATATTGCACTTTTTATTTGCGCTCTCTAGAAAAAAGTTGAATATGCAGTTTTTAGCCCATTCAATTTTAGTATAATAAAGTGCAAGTATGAGGTAGCTAGGACTTACCATTGATTTTTGGGAAACTTTTTTGTTGAAAAGAAAAACGAAAAAGAAAAATAGTCGCATAATTCTTGCCTGAATACTTATTTATGTATTTAATTCATTGATCTACAAATATAAGGATTATTGCTGACTATTTAGACTATACTCGGTAGTACTATAGCACAATGGCAAGGTAAACTCCTCATGCTCTGAAAAATGCCATACGAAAGATTTGTTTGTTTGTTTGTTACTTTTTTTCATTTCCATAATTCATAATTTTTCAACACAATTTACAGTGGCGCGCCTCACTGTGCGGCGCCCAGCTCAGCGCTTTAAGTAGTCAGCATTGACAGCGTGTGAATTCGTATGAAATTTGAATAAGATCACGTTGCACGCATAATTTTGAGTGTTATTGAGCATTGAACCGCGGGCACGTGCCCAAGCAAGGCAACAGCATACGAATACAAGAAAAACGTTCCGCTCCGCTCTACACCTTACTCCTCGAAAACGTCAACAATAAAGAATAGCTTGAACTGAATTATTTGTTATGAATTTTTCATATTTTTTATTTTCTTTTGTAGATCACTCCACTCGGCAAGAAGCGTGTCTTAGCCTCAGCGAGTATAAATATGCGCAAATACGCCAGTATTGAGTCGACCCAGCAGAGCTTTACGCTTAGCTTAAAGCCGACCTCACGAAAGATTACCGCCGCCGAATTGGAATTGACACTTAGTTGTGTGTTCCTGCGCGAGGGCAAAGCGACGTGAGTATGCTCTTTATTTACCTACATACATGCATATCGATGGCTGAGTGGAAGATCGACCTATCTCGGCAGCCAGTCCGAAAACGCCCTATCTCAGAAAACTTTTCAAGAACGCCCTACTTCTGAAATTGACTGAAGAACGCATTATTTCAAAATTTTATTGTAAAACACCCTATCGTTTTTGAATCGGCAGCTGAGTTAGGGCGTTCTTCAACCAAATTCTGAGATAGGGTGTTTTTCAATCAAATTCTAAAATAAGGCGTTGTTGAAAAATTTTTTGAGTTAGTGCGTTTTCAAACTGGCTGCCGAGATAGGTCGAAACCTTTTTCAAATTAAATCTGTGTTCGTATGGAAAAGTGGCTTATGTCGAAAGGTTGGCTTTAGTATAATGCGGCATTCCTTTTATTCTTTGAACGACAAGGAATTTTTTGATGAGACTTAATAAGACTTGCTAGTATCGGAACTATTTCTTGCACGTTTATTTGCTAAAAGTTGTTCAACGGCTCAGCGCCAGCGAGTCATTCGCAATCGTATACTGCAAATGCCGATTTATATTAAAGTCAGCCTTTCGACATAAGCTACTTTTCCATACGAACACAGAAATGAAACCTTTTTCAGATTCAGTGAAACTTTATCCAAATTAAATGAGACCTTTTTCAGATTCAGTGAAACTTTATTCAAATTAAATGAGAACTTTTTCAGATTCAATGAAACTTTATTCAAATGAAATGGAACCTATTTTTTGGATTACTTTGAATTAGCTGTTACGTGTTGCTCTCCCTTACGGTCAAGGCATGTTGAATACAGTGTTGCCGTTTCGGTCCAATTGGACCAATATTAGTAGTTTCATATCTTAAAATAAGGCTTTGGTAGGTTGGTTGGTTTGTTGTGATTTTCGAGGGGTTTTGGTAACTAGGCAAATCATATAATTTATTGATTTTATAAAACTTCAAATGTCTCTGTTTTCGGGAGTACATGTAAAGGTTGATGTGGAAAGGAAAAGAGAAATGGGACATGTCAAAATTATTCTTGAACCGAAGTTGAATGTTGCCGTGATTAGACTGTGCTCTAATCCATGGAGTTTGTTTAAGTTAGAAGAAAATAATCAGACAATTGATATGCAAATGACAAATTTTACATTTCGCTTAAGAGAGTGAGTGAGAAGGAAGAGTATTTGTACTTTATTTCCCTCTTCTCCTTTAAGAAAATAATAGTTGACAGCTTTGAATATTAAAAGTAGTAAAAATATTCTCCCAGTTAAATATCATAATCGGCGTTATCGACTCCCTGACATAAGTATGGCGTCGATAACGTCGACTCTGTTACGTACGTGTTTTTACGTAGAAATATAGAAAAATAAATAAATAAAAAGAAATGCCAAGTATGCATAACCGAGCCTTTAGTGATAGCCAGACATGGTGCAAACGGCTCTTAATAGGTTAAGTTGATTTCCTGTTCCTTAATTTAAAAATGTTTAATACTTAATTGGAATAAAGTTTCATTTAATTTGAAAAAAGTTTCATTTGGTTTGAATAAAGTTTCATTGAATCCGAAAAAGGTTTCATTTAATTTGAAAAAGGTTTCGCTTCATCTGAAAAAGGTTTCAATTAATGTGAAAAAGGTTTCGCTTAAACTGAAAAAAGTTTCATTTAATTTGAAAAAAGTTTCATTTAAACTAAAAATGCTATATACATTTTTCAATTTGTTAAATTAAATGAAAACCAAACTAATCCCTTTCCGCGTTCGCAGGGATGAAGACATGCAGAGCGTCGTTTCTCTGATGTCCGTCAACAATAATTGTGATGTTGCTCCACTGGACGACTTAGAGGATATACCCGATCTGGAGAGTTCGGGCGATATTTCGGATCATTTATATGATTTCACGCAACAGCTGGAGCAAATGACGACTAGTTTGAACGGTTGTATGGACCTGCCAACGCCATTGAGTGGTGCGTACAGAATTTTTAATGTAGCCCTTTTCTTTCCTCTCTTGATTTCGGGTTTCTGGTTTGTCCTGTAACTAAAAACGTTATTGATTTGATTGTTTATACTAAGTATTTAGTGATTTAGTTTAGGTTTAGTAGTTTTAAATGGTAAAAGAAATGATTACACTTAGCATACATGATAGTAGAGTACAGTAGCGTAGAACCCACCGTAGACTAAATAGTTTTATACAAACACATATGTACATATGCAAGCTTTTGCATAAAGAAGAATCAATATTGGCATAATGTAATGATATTAAAGTACCTTCCTCATACTCACACAAAGCTGCTATTAAAACAAAAAAAAAACAATGCAGAGAACCCCTATATCTATATGTTTTAAAGCAACAGGTTTTTGTGCGCTAATTGACGCTAACGCTTTTTTGCAATTTAGGAAATGAAATCGAACAACGGAATAGATAATCGTATAATAACTATAGTTTCTATATTTTGACTTCAAAAGAGGCAAGATTTTCCTTAAAAAAAAATGGATAAATAGTTTTATAAACCCCCGGCATCATTTTAAAAGAAGAAATTTCATAGTTTTTAGGTAACAAAAATCTTTACTACACAAAATCTCTACTAACATATTTCCTTTTATAAAACCAATTGCAGCTACTTTTAACTGCAATTTGTATATTTTTTCAAAATTAATTGTGTATAAATATTTTTCTTTTTCTCTCGTCTCTCTAACTTATTGCTACCGTTTCTCAAATTCATTTTTTTTTTTCACAAAAAAAAAATCATTCAACAATTAAATGTATCCATTATCATTTCTAACTGTTCAATTAATCAACTGATCCTGTAAATGTTCGTTAATTTCATTTATGTTTAACACTGTATTCCCTATGTATTGCATTTTGTTACTTTTATCTCAATAACCAATTCATACAACTCCAACACGCGACCACACACTCACCCACCATATCACCCATATGATAACCGTTTGTATATGCTCGTATCTATGTGTGTGTATGCGTAGTTCCTTCCTTGTCCGAAGACCCAACTCCATTGGCCGAACATAATCGTTTGAATTTTGAATTCGAATCAGAGAAACAATTTGACTTCGATGTCAGCGACGAGCTGCTTAAGACGCCCAGCGCTGCACAACCTCAAGTGCAGCAACAGCAATCAGATCAACAGTCTGAGAGGGAAAACACCGTTGCTGATAAAGAGCCGAAGCATTCAGTTCCTGCACTGACACCTGCCCATCCTGCGGGAGTGAAGAGTAAAATTGTTACATCGACCCCAATTGCCAACTCTGGCACTGCCAAGACGACCGAACGCAAGCCGAGCGCAGTGAGTGAAGTTGGTGCGCGTCGCTCAATCGACTTCCAAGGCGCCAAGAGTAGCAGCACAAGCAACAGCGAGGAGTCACCGCAACAAAATGGCGAAATCAGCAAAGTGGTGACCAGCGCTGCAGTCTCTGTTACAGGTGAAGCTGGTGAAAAGACACAATTGGCAGAAGCGAAAGCTGAAGAAAGGCCAACTAAGTTCAGTGGCACCAAGTCTACAACACTTAGCTCCTTGCTGTCTATGTCGACCCCTGCTGCAGCAACAGCAACGACGTCAATTAAACCGGGTGAGAGTGAAGAGTCGAAGGGCAAGTCGGTAAGCGTTGGCAACGTTGCGCCACCCAAACCCGCGCGTAACGACATCAAACGCGCCGAATTGCAGCCGCTCAATTTGAAGAAGAGCTATGAGCATGACAACAACAGCAAGAGCAACAACAGCATTGCCATGACCAACAGCATCAGCAATCCAAACAACAATAATGTGAGCAGCATTAACTGCAACAACAGTCTGACGGTGAATGGTTCCGCTAAGACAGTGGAGAAAATCGTCTTGAAAGAGAATACACCAGGGCAAGATTTGCTGGAGTGGTGCAAAGATGTGACTAAGGACTATCCGAATGTGAAGGTGACCAATTTGACGACCAGCTGGCGTAACGGCATGGCGTTCTGTGCAATCATCCATCACTTTGAGCCGGACCTGATGTGAGTGATAGACGAAATATATTTAAATTAATTAAACATGTAATTATGTTGATTTCATGTCTGCCACCCGGCTTATTTTCCCTTTCTGTGCCCTCCTTTCAGTGACATGTCGAAAATCTCCGCACACGATGTGGTGGGCAATTGTCGCACCGCCTTCGATGCCGCCGAATCGCTTGGCATACCGCGCGTCATTGAGCCACGTGACATGAGTTTGCTGGCTGTGCCGGACAAATTGGCTGTCATGACGTATCTGCATCAGTTGCGAGCGCATTTCACAGGCAAACAGCTGCAAATTGAACAAATTGGTGAGCGAATCGAAGTGCGCCACAACAAGCGCGGCCTTTCAATTTACTTTTCAATATGAAGAAGCAAATCAATGATACTAAATTTCTTCTATTATTTTCGTTAATTATTAATTAAATGAATTTCACCTTCTACCTTTTGCTACATACTCAGGACCCACGTCAGACGAGTCAAGTTATGTGATCGGTAATTACAAGTCGGACAACCTTTCGCAGAATCTACTCAATTTAAGCCACTTGAAAGCGCAATTGTTGCATCAGAATTCGCTCGACGATGACATCTTAGGCATCGAGGCGAAAAACAATTCAACGCCAGCACAACCTTCGCCAACGGCGAAGAAGGATGTAAAGAATTTAATACTCGCGGGCTCGAAGAATATTTTGGGCAAAGTGCTTTCGCCAACAAAGGATAAGAATTCGATCAATGCATCACATCATAGTCATGTGGGCAATCAGACAGCTCCCATCGAGGACAAGGAGAATACAAATGCCGACACGGGTGTTGGTGCTTCAACGGATGACTTTTATAATAAATCGAATTTGGTGCAATCAGAAACAAAGCAGGGGACGCCCCATTCGCCAACAGCGCTGGATCCCAATGCGGCGAATGTGAGTACTGCGTTTGTAAGACGATTTTGCTTGGCTTTTATTTTAACTCTGAAATTGGTTTATGAGCGCAAGCCCACTACTACTGGCTGCTTTGCTGTAAAATGCTCCCTTCAAGATAATTAATTATTTAATAATTTTATTATTATTTATTTTATTAATTAAAATAATTTTTTGAAGTGAAACTTCGTTTAGTAGGTAATTATGGAAACTTGCTAAGCAGTGGCTTAGGTTAAGATTAATATTTAGCTTAAGATTTGAAGAATTTAAGATTTGTCAGGGCTTATATTAAGATTAGATATTAAATCAGAACGTAGTATACTAATTTCTGCAACATAAATCGAGAGCAGTTTCACTTCAGTAGTGTGTCCCAGGCGCTTTCATTTTTATTGAATGATTTTTTTAATCTTCAGTTGGGATCATAAATTGCATAAAGTGTTTTCGCATAAATTTTGTATATAATACATTACTAATTTATATTAATTTATGCGATTGTTATGTAGTTTAGTTCGTACTATTTAATTTTAATCAATTTGATATAGTTTGAGCTCGCTTTTGATTTTATTCGCTTTTGTTTTGGCTTTCGTTTTTGGCTTATCATTTTCGGTTTAAAATTCATCTACCCGTCCATTCACCAAAACTACAAAAATAAAACGCTTTAAAAACCACAGCGCATTTTGTCTCGACACAAAGAAATGAGTGAAAAAGCTAAATTGATGATCGAGAAGCTGAAAATTTCCAACGGCGTTGAGCGCAACGAGAACGACGTAAGTAATCATACAGCGCAGCATCAAAGCGTCGCACGTTATCACAGTACTCAGTTTGAATTTGTTGCTGTTGAATTACTGGCTTCATTCAAAATACAATTGTAACTTTTTTCTTTAATTTCAACTTTACTGTTCTAATATATCATTTGGCCATTTTCAGGAGGAACGTCAGCTACGTTTACGTGAGCAAGCGCGTCGCCTAATTCTCGAGACTCGTACCAAATCAGTTAATGGCGGCGGCGGTGGCGGCAACTTGGATAGCCCGACCACACCCACCAAGCTGAAACGCATGAACTTCTCACCTGAACGCACCATTTCACCCATCCACAATGGCATCGAGGACTATGGTGTGCCAAGCTTGGGCAACAATTCACCGACAAAGGTGCCAATGTCGCCAACGAAGAAGATCACACCGCCGCGCGACGTGGATGCCTTGTCGGCGACAACCAATAGCAATAGTAAAATGTTGAGTCCTAGTCATAGATTAAGCGAACGCTTCAGCAACGGCACGAGCAACAGCGGCGGCAACAGTCCACTGCAGTCATTCAATGCCGTCATGGAGCGTATCTCACCAAAGAATGATAAGAAGGTAGGTGTAGTAGCTCATCGATTTTGTTTTCTCATAGCATAATAGCAACATTCTCTGCCACAGGGTGACAAACTCTCCTACATCGAATCGGAATTGGAAGCGCTCGAGCGTGAACAGGTAGCCATCGACCAGAAGGCAAGCAGCCTGGAGAAGAAACTGCGCGCAGTCATGGGCGGCAATCCAAGTAATAATCGTTCACAGCGTAACCCTTTCCTTAGATTGATACGTAATAGTATTGGTGGTGGTGATAATATACGTATTAAGTTGCTCGACATGGATAGCGATGGCCAGTTTTCATTGTCGCCTTCGGGCGAAGATACTTCGCCGTGCACATCGTCGGGCTCCGTGACGCCCTCATCGTTGTCCAGCGATGAGGAGGCGGCAAAGCGTGCTGATGAAGATGTGCCAGTGGCGTTGTCGACGGATGCAGCTGTTGGCGAGCGTGTAGTTCGCCGGCGGCGCCGGCGACGACGACGCCCACACCAGCATCAACGCACGCAAGCGGCGGAGTATGCTGGCCAACAGCAGCTGCTGCCGCCGCGCCACCGTCCACGCTCACAATCGTGTATTGTCGATGCGAATGAGAACCACAGAAATCATGCGCATCAGCAACAGCAACACAATAGGTTTATAAGTAGCCGAAATTTCACAAACGCTTTTGCGCCGTTCAATTTTATTTTCTCCTCCTCCAATACGAATACAACAACCACCACAGCTTCCTCAAATCATTCCTCCTGTGATAATCTGCCAAAGGTGCACGCACAGCTGCTCTATGACGGGGGCGAAGTTGAAGATGAGATGCGGCGAATTCGATGCCGAACCGAGGAACCGCCCGACAGCCAAAGACGGTCCCGTAGTCGTTGCCAATGCCATTGTCGCGATGGTGGTAAACATTTGTTTTTGCATTGAGTCACTCTTAAAGCCTGTAGCTACTTTTTCAAATTTGCAATTAAATTACTACAACTCTACATAATATTACTACGATAACAAAAAGAAACGTCAAAACAAAAGCCGCTCACAAACGCAATTGCAAAATGCATGTGCGCAAAGTTTACTCGCTTACAGCAATTATTCTGGCACAGCGCAAGCATATCTCTTTCGATTCGTCGTCTATTAATTGGTTGTCCCTGAAGATGTTGTGTTGCCGTTTTGCCCTTTGGAAGCTAACCGATCGCAGATCGCAGATCACCGCTCATAGTTCATTGCTTAAAACGCTTAGCTTGAACGCTTCGGCTCGTTTTGGTGTTGTAAAGTCGTGCGCTAACAAAAACAGCCTTCTGCCGCTATTTACTTTCGCAGCTTGAGCAAGCTATAATTAACACACAGATTGCGCGCATTCCCTTTTGCTTTCGCCGCCCAGTTGTAAAGCTAAAGCGCCACTGTCTTCGCTTCTAACATTTTAATTGCATCCCGTATTAACTCAGCTTTTAACGCTGTACATAACTTGTAAAAAATATGTAGTCTTATTAATGTCTTAGCTGTTTGTGTGTTTAACTTGGAAAGCATTTTCATCAATCCTGCTTGTAAGAAAAGAGAAGCGATTTGAGTAAAAGCAATGCTTCCGACTATTGGCTAAAGGAATCGAAATCGAAATAAGGCACAGCTGCTCAGCTAACATTTAGAAACAAAATTCTTAACATCGCAATCGTATTCGTAGCGCTCTACTCACCACATACTAAACTCACCACCAGGGCTCAGATTTTTGTGACACACTATATTTGCTAAACATTTCATTACTACACTTATTACCATGTCATCACTTCAATCTTAGCGCGATTTGTACATTTGTTAAGAAGTTCTAATTCATACTTAATTGTATTATTGTTAAAATGTTAATTCAATATTTTTGGCGTTTAACTTTTGACTATTTGTGCTTATTTAATTCCGTGTAATAATAATTGTTTTGTCTCTGCTGGCACAGAAACCGATGAAACGGAGGAGCAATTGCTGTCGCAATGGTTTACGCTCGTCAATAAAAAAAACGCGCTGCTACGACGCCAAATGCAGCTCAATATACTGTAAGTGCTCGGAAGTTGTATTGAAGCTTCGATTCTTTATTCTCTGATGTTGAATAATTTTTTTATTTGCCAACAAATTGCAACCTCGTCTTTGCTTTATATTTTGCAGTGAGCAAGAAAGCGATTTGGAGCGTAAATACACGCTTTTAAATCAGGAGTTGCGTGCCGCGCAGTCCGTTGAAGATTGGCGGAAAACGGAAGCACAACGTGAAAAGGAGCGACTGCTGCTCGAGGAACTAGTGTCCATTGTGGACAAACGTGATCAGTTGGTGCAGCACTTACACAGTCAGGAAATTGCGTATGTGCCGAAAAACTTTTACATTCATACATATTTTAAACATTTTGTTTTACTTTGAAAGAATCGAACGTAGGAGTAAAAAATTTAAACAGAACCCATTTGAGACTGAAACTGTAGTTTTTTAGTTGCAAGCTTTATTTGTTCGACTTGGTAATTGTAGTCATTTGTCTTATGGACGCTCTGGAATTGAACTATTCGGTTTTGTGCTTGACGGACGAATGCCATTTTTGACTCACTTTTATATTCCAATACTTTTGCGAAATTTTACTAAACAAACGTCTTTAAAAATATACTATAAGTTATTTTAAACATCACATGAGTTTTTTTAGTGAAGGCTTCTTAGCAGCAAATTTTTTACCTATTCCGAACTTTTTTTTTTAGTATCGAGGACGATCATGAGATTGCGCGTGAACTGGAACAGGTGGATATCAGTGGCGACAAGGACAAGTGCGTTTTGCAATAAATCGCCAAGGCGCTAAAATTTAAAATATGTCTCTCGTCCGCAACTCGCAACGCAGTGAAGACGACTCTTGAGTAAAAAAACAATTAATTCGCATTATCTAAACAATTTTGGGAAATCCCAAAAAAAGAATGATTATGAATACATTTTTACAATGCGTTTACGCATAAAAAATCGTAACTTATTATGAAGAAACGTTGAATGAAAATTCTCCGGTAGTTAGTGTTCAAGATGAATTCATTTTCTACAACAGCGACAGTCAAGTCAAGTAAAAATTTTCCTTGGGCATAGCAATTACTTATTGATTAATCAACAATTTGCTTGTTTGCATAAATAATTCCGCCTTACGAAAGCGTGGATGAACCGATTTGAAATTAAAAATCAAATACTTAGGCCGATACACTGGGTGACATAACAAGTGGTTTTGTCATTAGGCCATACATTTTTGTAAGGTTAAAAATTCGTGACAATGTGGTGGTTATAACAGTTGGTGAATGCCCTAACTACATACATACCTATGTAACATTTGGTTCCTGAGCCTTTCGTTTACTACTAAAAAATCTATATCACTGTTTATTTCTTATGAATGTCTAAGCGCCGATGCACAATTCTAAACGAACGGCAGCGTTTGCAATAACTGTGAACGCGGACAATTACGAAGCACGACCCTCTACTGAACACACAATATAAAATGGTCGAAGTTGCAGAAAAACCAAATTGCAATAATACAAATTGAATTTTCTCTTATTTGTTTTTTTTTTTTATAGACAATTTTATTTCGCGCTATATAGTACACATGTATGTTAATTCATCCGAAGTACTTTTATACCTTTAAGTTTTATTAGAGAATAATTCTTTTTAATAAACTCAAAATTAAAATACTAAATAAAATAAAAACCAAAACCTGTTGCGTGCAACTTAAACACAAATTTGAAAAAACGTCCGTTAGTTTTGTAAGCAAAAGTAACACAAAAGAATAAAAATCAACATAGTGAACAAATATGAAATAATTTTTATTGTCCTAAGACCTAAATCCCAGTTTTGTACGGTTTTTGCTTCACACGCTTCTTTTTTGTGCCATTCTTTCGTTCAGCCAACACGACCGTTTAACGATACTCATTTCAACGCTTACACTGCTTTTTACAACTATTTTACTTAATTCGAATTGAATATCCAGTTTGCTATACAAAATATTATTTGAATTTCAAGAAAGTCAGAGAAGTTTTGTTTGAGTGGTACTATTAAAATGTTGAACTTAATAAGCTGTATCAATGACTTCAGCTCAGTTATGGTTTTGCAATGTTCTTTTTTCATCTAATCTATCAATTGTAAATTATTTTTAATTGTATATTTAAGCTGTAATTACATACATTTATTTTTTGATAGTGGTTTAGTTTATAATTTGACTAGTGTGATCCTAACTGTTAACTGTACCTACCTGTTTATTATTAAACAACAAAAACCAAGTAAAATATAGAAATACGTGTTTAGTTTCATAATTATTATTTTTAAATTTATTATTAGGTATTGTTTGGTATTAAGTTGCTTACCGAATAGAAATTGGTGACTATCGACTTTTGTTTTTACCTTCACCCCCAAATTATGTTATGATTATTTAGTGCTTTTGATTTCGTTGCCTATGGATCTAACGCGAAACGTTGCATTGATGGCGTTTCAAAAATACTTAAAAACCTATAATTTTAAATGTACTTTAAATGGAACTGCGAACAGAAAATGTATTACGTTTAAGTGATCTATTGATAATACATGCATAACTAGATATGTATATGAATGATATATGGATATGTACTAAATGTGAAATAATCAACAAAATATATATATATATATATGTACATGAATAAATATGAATGAAATGAATAGCGTAGCGCATAGTTTTATTTTTTCCAAATATGTACATACGTCCGTAGCTTTCGGAATTTTCTTACAACGCTGTTAGCTGAACATTCGAGGGTTCGAAGTAACTTTCACAGGAGTACATAAGTGTTCGAGAAAAGCGCGATACGAAGCCTCCTAGTCATTTTCATATTCTACTCACATATTAATTACGTGTTTTAGCGTTTCAAATATGATGCTACCTCGGTATTCTGACGACGCACAGTGTGCTTTTTGAACACTCCATGCGAATTATCCGTAGCGCTTTCAACAGAAGCAATATTTTGATATGAAACTAAATGTTCTTGAAAGCTGATGTTATCCCCTTTCACGGAAAAATACTGCCATTAACCCACAAATAATCCTTGACCATAAAAAAGTTGGTCAAAAATAGTGCTCTTCAAAAACAACATGCAAAATCCACCGGATTTATTCCAAAAAAAAATTTGTTTGTATGTTTTATACACTAATATTAAAGATTTTGAGACGAGAAATACGATTCCACCGTATATAAATCGAAAAAAATTTTAACACCACAGTTTAGTAATTGCATTTTTGATTGCATTTTTTTTACTTGCATGCAGCTGTGCTTCGTTCTCACAATTTTATATCACTCAAATAACAAGTACGCTGTAGTGCTATCCAACATCTTTAATTTGAGCCAAATTATAACGATTTTGAAGTTAAACTTCGAAATTTCATTCGACATTTTTGCATTTTTTTTCTAATTTCATAGTAAAAACTCGAACAGCAGATTCGAATTTTAGTTTAAAATTGTTAAAACTTGGCTCTCAGAGCGCCTAAAGATTTCCATCGTGGCTCAAATTAAAGATCTTAAATAGCACTACAGGGTACTTGTTATTCTAGTGATATAAAATTGTGAGACGGATGCTGCACAGCTGCATGCAAATAAAAAAGAATGCATTTCCTAAATTGAGGCGTTGAAATTTCAAATCGAAAATGATTAAAAAATCATCGCGATTTTGCAGAGTTTTGAAATTTACACTTTACAAAAATGAAAATACTAGGGCTAGTCTCTAAATTATATTTGTTTTGGTCTGAGAAAAATCTTCAGAAATCAAAACAATAATTCGAACATGGGAACCACCACAATTACAAAGTGGTTGTAATTTGTGAGCTTCGTCTGTATGAAGCTCACCTAGCACTGCCATAATAAATCGAAGTTTATCCCAAGTACCCCCATATAAGTATTTGCATATACATATTTCACTTTATTTTCTTCGTATTTTATCTAAAGAAATTATAAAAAAATTACATTTATTTACATCGGAAGATAGAATCAACATTTTGCTATACATATGTACAATCTTCAAGCATGTACTCGATTAATTTTAATTTGCTCATTTTGAGAAATAAAATGTTTAAAAATTGTCACTATTTAAATGTATGCATGTTTGCATGTATAAGCGTTTATTTTACTATCACTTAAAATACTTTAACTTACTTATATAAACTATTTTTTATAAATGTATGTTAATTAAGTAACAAAACACATCCGTTACGAAGCCCAGTTGGATTTCTTTAAGTGCACCATATCTTATTTCATATTTATCTAATTTTAACGCGGAAGCGCCGGTCTATATAATTTTCTATAGTATTCTAAAAATATTTTAAATAATATCTTCCCGCGCTTTCTATGGAAGATATACATTTTCTAATTTGTTCTGCATACATACATATGTATTTCGTTTTTATATCGTCACCGGAAATGCAAAAAGACGTAACAACATTGTAAATGAAATGGAAAAAGACGTGAATATTTTAATTTTTTTTCTTCATAAAATGATGAAATCCATCATATAAATCAAAAAGTGAATTTTTGATTTTTTATTAGTTATGACTTGGCATTTCTACGATGCTGTTTGTTACGGCTTTCTGCAATTCAGGTGACGATATGTACATATGTATGTATTTGTCTTATTTAATTTTTGGAAAACAGCGATTTTGCTTGCTTGTAATCGTTCGTTAAGATATTAGTCACATACTACTTATATACAAACATTTGAATTTTCAACACTCCTACATTTGGGAGCAGAAGATCTAGTTATAGAATTAAGGCACCATGTTTTCACTTTCTTTTACGCTGTTATCCTTATTAGCTCTCAATAGCTCAGTTTACAACTCAATCTCAAAAGTTTACATTGCCCTTCAGGTTTTCTGATCTATTCGTTCTCGGAAGTGTGATAGGAAGCTTTTTTCGCGACTATATTTAATGCCGATTTGGAAGTAATATACAGTGACTTTAAGTTTACTTAAACCTCTGTTCGTCTCGGATACTTAGTAACGTAATTTATGTATTTTTTATCCTCTTAAAACAAGATTTCCATTACGCCCTTTGTTTGTTCATCCGCCTGCGTTTTTATGTCGCGCTCTCTGTTGTCGCCGACGCCGGCGGCGCCGCCGCGGTACCGACGCCAGCGTTGGCAGCCACTCTTGCCGCAGTTGCTGCTGCTGCTGCTGCCGCCTCTGCTTGACGACGCTCCTCTTCCATTTCTAAACGCTCAACCTTTTTGATTTTGCTTAATTTTCCTGTGCAAATGGAGTAAAAAATTAGAAAAACAATTTCGCAGCTGCGCGCTGCTTAAGCGGTACTCACTAGCACACTTTAGCATAATGGTGCCCCACCAGATGGACCAGCCCCAGCCCACAAAGCAGAAGAGCACGCAAAACAATTGCGCCACAGCCACAATGATGTTGATAATGAAGGAACCGAAGCGCGCCTTAGCGCTGTCATATTGCGAGAAGCGTGGAATGCCGACGCACAGGCAAAAAATGCCAGAGAACAAAGTGCCTGTTGGAGGAGAAGTTATTAGAGAGAAAGAGTACTTTGTTTGCTCAATTACCCAATCCAGGAAAAATGGTGTTGCAGATAACGCAAAACCAGGCCAAGGAAAGCGGCAACACCGGAATAGCGCCCTTCATTTTCGAGTTGTACTCAACCAGGTCGACGTGCAATTTTCGCCGTGTATCCTATGGTGTTTTGAGGTAATTGGTAATTATAAAACGCGTTTCATTTTCAATTTCAAGTGTTCTTACCTCACTCGGTGGCGGCGGCGCTTTCATGCTCGCCCGTCGACTTTCGCTTGGTTTCGGCATTTTATTGCGTCGACAGCACAGTAGTTTGTTCCAAAAGCGTTTGCAACAACCCCTGAAAGTGCAGACGACAATTAGTTATCTCCGCTACATTCTTACCGAGTACGCGCAATAGACTTACTGTGGCGGCAGCATTTCTGGCGAGCTGGCGCCCTCCACCACCGATGCATCAGTGGCTGCTATACCAGTTTCCGGATCTTGCCAGGCCACGGAGCTACCTCGCGAAACTGTGGAACCGATTGAAGCGCCGCGGCCGCCCTTCTTACGCCGACAAGGAATACAGAAACAGCACTTCTTCAACTCTGTCTCGTCGCCCGTTGTGGGATCCACTTTGTTGACGCGCCGACAGCAGAACAATTTGCTCATGCAAAGCCCGCATTTACCCTCTTTGGATGGTGTTGTGGTGGCGGCAGCAGCTGCCGCTGCCGCAGTCTCTGTCTTACCAATGGCCGTCATTTTCGCTTGCTCATCAGTGCTGTCGGTGCCTATTTTGGGCTGCTTGCGACAACGCTTACAACAGTTCAATTTTTGCCAGCAACTCGACTTGGTTTTGTCGTCTGCGCTGTGGCGCGCTTCATCGATGACTTCGAGGTTGGTGGTAGAGGCGCTGCTGGTTGCCGAGAGTACAGGCTCCTCGCTCTCATCGCCGGTCTTGCCCGGTTTGCGGCGACAACAGCGCGAGCAACGCAAACGGCGGCATGGCAGACAGAATTTGGAGCAGCAGCGGCAACAGCCAGTGGGTGGCACCGAATCGTCTTCCGGCTGCTTGAGGAGCTCACGGCTGCCGTTGCTGAGAAAAAGGCGGGAAAATGATGATTAAATTATATATGTATGATGTATGTACATTGGTTAAAGCAATATAAATTAAAATTTAGTACAAGCGCCTAAGAAGATTCATATTGAAAAATTGTTTCGGAATTCGCATAAATCGACATTTTACTAAATAAATACCATTACACATTTACTGCCGAAGGATAGTTACTTTAAAATATTGTTCGGTGAATACATGCAAATCAAAAGCAACTCGGAAACTTTAAGCAATACAAATCCAAAAAACCCAAGGCGCACCGCATTGGTGCAAAAAACGAAGGCGCCACAACGACAACACCACAACGTGACGTGACTGGTTCATAAATGATTATCGCGACAGGTGTGGGTAATGGACGACTTCCGCTACTGCCAATCGGACCATGAGATATACATTTCACTCGAGACCGTGCTTGCCAGCAGGGTCGGGACGTAGCTGAGGTGCGGTTCGTGGCGGCATTGAGGCATTGGCAGCTCTTGGATGGTAAGTGCGGCTTTTATTGATTGCAGACAGCACTTTGCAACCTCGTCAATATGCATATGTAAATTAGGGTCATCCAAATACAAATATACATATGTACAGACATATAAACATGTATGTACATACATATAGTACATCCATGCATCCGCGCTTGGTGAGTCAATGTTAGGGCCATACGAATATTGGCTACTCATAAAATTCTTGTAATGTATTTACGAGTATATCCGCTTCCGCTGCATCGCCGCATGTGCTGACATTTCCTTCATTTTAATTACAATGTCCATTTGAGTGACCTTACAGAAAATGTATTTTGCAGATGGCCATACACATATGTGTGTATACTATGTGCATATGTAAGTATGTATGCATAAATGTGTTCGTATTTGTGAAGAAGTTGGCAGAAACCCAACGGATTGTGTAGGTGTGGGTTTTTTTATTTAATTTTTATTTTTTTGCTGTTGTCCTTCAAATTAAAGAATGTCCATCGTTCTTTAGTGCATTCTTAAGAAAATCAGTTTTTAATATTCAAATAAAGTAAACAACTCTACATTCCGACGAAAAAAAAACTTTTTTTTTTATTTAATTCCGTGTGGGAATTGCCTGAAAGAGAACCGCAAATGGTTTCAGTATTTTGTTAGTCACTTTAATATGCTTCTTGGTACCCACCCACCTAACGCTTTTTGGGAGTGAACGGGCAAGGCACTTTAATTGGGCAAATGTTTTCTTGGGTACGTCTTAGCGTATGAGCGATCAAAATGTATTCAACAAAGTGTGATTGAATTTGACATTGCTCTCAGAAAAACCATCCTATAATGTCAAATTGAATTTTTTTTTATGAATTTTGAATCGCTTGTTTATATCTTTTGGCATAACAGTACTTTAAAAAAGAGCCTACCTCAGTTGTCAATCAGACCTTATGATCGACATTTTTCTTGGCTTTTGAAAAAATTCCAATAGAGTAGTAAGTGCCGTTTTCTCAATTAGTTTTTAAATTTTATGTCCCCTTCAAACACATTTTTTTTTTTTCAGAACAAAATTTGCATTTAGTGGTAGATAAATTTCAAACCCTACTTGAGAACACGGCCATAAATTTACCAACGTTAGAATTTTCAGGTGATTTTTCGCTCAAATGAAGTTTTGCTCGCCTGAAATCAAGGCGAATTCATATAAGCTGGTAGCGGTAGTACAAAAACAAAAACTTGCTGAGTTTTTTGCTTTAGATTTCGATAGACAAATGTCAAATTTCAGCTATTCTACGCTCAAGCAGGAAGAGGGAAAGAAAATTCCAACTCTCTTACTTTCGCACTCACTCATTAGGAGTTTTGACATTTGTGTACCGAGCTGTTCAAGAAACACCGTAAATTTTTTGGAAACTTTTTTGAATTTCGGAATTTGTCTTTTCTTTTTGGAAATACTTACCGGAATGCGATAATTTTTTTTTTAGTTTTACACAACTAAAAAATATGTAAACAAATGGTAATTTAACAACTTCATCTCTTTTGTTGCAAGGACATGACTACTTCCCATACATCCTTAATTTTAAAAGTTTAATTTTAGCTACAATTATAAACAGAATAAAGCGAATATTGGTAACTGTCTGTAAAATTTTATCCCAAAGCTCTGCGGCAAATTTGGTTTCGTGCGGTGCAAGGCTGCAGACTACCTCCCATATATCCTTTTTTTCAAAAAATAAAATTTTTGCTACATTTGCGATAAGAATGCACTGAAAACTAATAACTTATAAATAAATTTATCAATGATGTTGCGTTAAGAAAAAAAAGAATACAAAATCATATTTTATGTCTTTGTAAAACTAAAAACTTCAGATGTTTAAAAAAAAAAAATACAAAATTCCAATTGCCGGCAAAAAGAGTTTTCATTTTTTTTTTCTTACTATATGTTAGATCACTTAACGAAGTATGCGAATGAGAAAAAAAAGTCGCCAATTATTTTTATATATGTATGTTTTTAATTTTGTTAAACTTTGTAAAATTTTCGAGTTTGCGCCAAAAGAACTGTTATTACTTCTAATTTCTTTGTCGCTATTTAATAAAAATTATGTATGTATTACAAAAAATTGTAATACCTCAATTTGTTTTAAATTTTGGCAATACCATAAACTTATCCCTTTATAACTTTTTTTGAAATGTGGCTCATAAAATGCGTATACTTTTTACATTCCCTTAAAACTTCTTCACAGATTCTAGTAAAGTACTTCAAAATGTACTGAAATCTCAAATAAAAAATTAGGTATTTTAAATTTTTTTTATTTCACTCTTCCAAACTTTAGCAATTTTGGGAATTCCAATAAAAAAATCTCAAAAGTTATCGATGGCATAAAAAAATTCTCCATGAAAAATATTTACCAAATATTATTTATGTTTTTTAAATGTATAGTAGTAAACAAAACTGTTCAGTTTCATAGTAATACACTAAAAAATGATTTTTTGAGATTTTTTTTGTAATACATTAAAAGTCGTTTTTCCGTCCAACATTTTTACCTTAAACGTTTTCTGACTTTAGCGCCCTGCTCTGTTAACGAAAAAAGGAAATTATAAATTTAACTTACATATCTATTTAAGGTACTATGTTAACTCTACAAAAATGTATATATATTACTTAAATATTCTAAGCACATTATTTTATTTTCATTTTGCCTATGGGACTAAGCATTTGCTAAAAAAGCTAAAAAATTATGTTGTGATTAGAAACATTGATTGAGTCTAATAAATTTAAAGCATTTCGTGCGCTTTACATGGGGAGTTGCGGAATATTCTATTTTCCAGGCTTATAAACTTCAGGACACAACATCGTATAACGGATCATGTGAGTCTCAATTGTATCAAAAGGCAGATTTTTTCGGTGCTTACGGCAAATGAGTACTAGTCACCAAAAGCCCATCGATTGGATATGAATTAGCCTGTTTGCTCATAAAATATCAAACTTACATAGTTTTTAGACGCTTTGACCGCTATTTGTAATTCGAAATCACTTGCTTGTTACGCTTCACAAATTACCTTTCACAAATCCCCACTGATACAGATCAACAGCACCCACTTTTTGTTTGCGGTTGAAGGCCAAATGCGCGGTTAAACGTTTCAAGGCAACTATTCGGTTTAGTTAAAGTTTTGCACTACTTATTTCTTGCTTTCTTTGCTGGCGACCGCCGAAGATGTATATGACCACCGCCTAGGCCAACAACCAAACGCAATTTAGTTGCGTCCAAAAATTCAAAACACCACCAAAGTAAGCCGAAAATTATGCTTTAGCAGGCACTACCAAGTCGCACAGCGACATGCGAACCAGCGAAAAGTTGCTGGCGTGGAGGTTTTGAGAAAATATTAACAAGGCCAATAGTGGCACGCCGAAATGCGACTTTGGCAGGCACATGTTTAAACAAACACACACAGGCAGGCACATGTTTAAACAAACACACACACACACGCACACTATTCACTCATTGGGCTTTCGATGCGACATTTAACGAGCGGTGTTGAGTTGTTATTGTTGTTGTTGGACTGTAGCATTGCAGGCATTTGATGAAAAGTCAGTCATGGCTGGTGAACGGCCATTTAATTGTATGAGACACGTTAAGTGTGACAAGTGTGTGTGTGTGTGTGAGCATAAAAATTTACATACGACTTGTTTACTGAAAAAGTAAATACTTTCGTTCAACCAAAATCGACCCGGGTAAATGGCATTTCAACCGTAAAATGTAAATGTTTTGGCTAGTCGATTTGCCATTCGACAGAAATCGACCCGTGCAAAGGCAGCTTAACGATCCAATTTTCTTTCACATGTACAGATTAATTGGAAAACCCTAAAAGGTACATACAACCTGGCCAAGAGTGAGTGTGTCTTAAGTTTCTTGTGTCCAGTATTTGAATGAAAATAGTTCTTTAATTCTATGCGTTCCCAAGCTCAAAACTTTGTAAATATTTTTTAGCAATACCACAAATGGATACATTGTCATGACAGGGGATGTGACCATATGTACATACATACATATATACCCCAGCAACGAAAAAGTAATGAAAAGAAACCGCTTTTTATCATTTCACAACAAATTTAGATTCTGTTAAGAAACAGTTGATTTTGAAATAGTAAAATAAATAAGATAATAGTAAAAAAAATACCTTTGAAACAAGCTTTATAAGTATGAATCAAATCGGACATCAAATACGGGGTTTCCAAATATCTGGGCCTCTGCGCCACCTAGCGGATGATTTCATCTTTCATACTGCATTGTCATCGGCTTCTGAGCTAAGTTCTCTAGCTCTTCCGAGAGTTAACAACTTTTTTATTTCTTCAAAGAAAGTGGGCCCCAAGTAGTGGTGGATTTTTTTCATTTCATTTCCCATAGAACGTAAATGACCAACATCTAGATTTTCGTTTTTTTTTTATTTATTGCACGTTTTTAAATTTTGTAAAATATTTCCCAACTGCCGAGGTCACCAGCAATTTAAGTGAAGAAAGAGTTTTGTCCTTCGGTCATTTTTAAT